TCTGTGAAATGACAAAGAGCGCCTTCCAGCCTTTAGGGTTGTCATGTGCCTGGTGTTGCCACCAGTTCTAGCCTGTGGGGAGCTTGATGTTAGGGACCCCTCCCCATCCACCTCTCAGCTCTGCCTGAGAGCAGCCTGCAGGGCCGGGGGAGGGGGCTATGAAGTGACTTGCCTTCATCCTACCCCTGCTATTCACTTGTTAAATGTTTGTTTCATTAAGTATGTAAAATGAGATTAATAACCCAGCCATCTCTTGAGTGAGTCTTTGCGGGGAGTGAGGGAGTCTGGGCTGGGGACCCTAGGAGGGGATAGGGCTCCATCCACCTGCGTGGAGGTACTGCCCTATTGCCCCCAACCCCCCAGTGGAGGGGGGAAATCAGCAAGGAGGCGGCATTGGCTTTGTCATGTTTTTCCAAAAAAAAATATTTCCTGCATTCAGATGGGGAGGGAGGAGGGCAAGAGGAGACAGAAGCAGAGGGCGTTTCTCTGAAGGTAACGGGGGGGGGGGGTCCCCTCCTAAGCATAAGGGCAGGCAGAGGGCATGTGACATCTGCATGCAGACGTGCACCTGGGCCTGCAGGTGTGGCAGGGGCCGACCACCTGGTGGGCGTCCTCAGGCCTTGCCTTGGTTGGTGTCTATGCCTCTCCACCCTGGTGGCTCCCATCACCTCCCCCGGGCCCAGCCTCCCCGCCCTCAGGACTCTGCGTCCCCCTGTTTCATAAGAGGGGTCCTGCCTCTGCTCAGGCTGCACCTAGAAGCCCCGATGTCTGGCTGAGGTGTCTCCTGCTTCTGTGGGTCCTGGAGGCTGGGGCCAGCCGCCCTTGTGGACGCTGGTGACTGGGTCGGCGCTCCTGATTCTGGGGGCCTCTCAGTTCAGGAGGCCGTCCTCCCACCGCCCAGGTGCGCGCTCAGCCTGAGGTCACTGCCCACACCGGCCACCCTGCCTGCCTTCCATCTTGGCCCCTGGAACCTGGACCAGCTGCTTGAGATGCTTGTCTCCTTGGCAACTGCTGCCAGGATGGACTCTCCACTTCGAATTCATTATCATAATCAGCTTCAGGCTGCGGGAAACCACCCTTCCATCTCCCATCTTTTCTTTCCTGCAGCCTGGACGGTCACCAGGGCTCCCAGGGCCTGGTCCAGGTGTTGGAGAGGCGGGACAGGGCTGGCCTCTAGGTGCGGGCAGGTAGGGCTTGCTCCCCTTGCCATCTCTCTTTGTCTCTGTTGCGGGGGTTGGGGG